GCCGGGTCCGGAGGAGCATCCCGCGGAACCCGTGCCCTTCCACACGCGACCCTTCTCGCACTACGGCCAGGTCCTGTGCGTGGCCTTCCCGCAGCCCTGCCGCGCTGCCGAGCGCTTCCAGGTGCTGCTCACCTACCGCGTCGGGGAGGGACCCGGGGTGAGTGCGCCCCAGTGCCCAGCCCGGGCCACAGGCCTCCTGCCAGCCCTGCTGGTCTCAGCCGCTCTGGACCGGCACTTAACCCAGCCTCCGAGGAGCGAGAGGGAGAGATCTCGACGGCCCTACCCTGGAGGGGGACCCCCGAGCTCCCCTGGTGCCGCCTCGGTTTCGCCCTTCAGCTCCACCCACCCCCTCCTCGGGGCTGCCCTGGTTTCCCCCTTCTGGGCCGTTACGCTGTAGCCACTGTGCTGTTCCCCATCCGTCCTCCCATCCTTACTGCACCTCCTCCCTGGCCTTCGTACCGGCTGGCCTAGATCACTCGCGTTCCTTCCCTCTCGTACACCACCACATCTAGTATCCTAAGTGGCTTTCTGGATGACGAACTGTTCACACGTTGAACTTGAGGCCGTCACGGGACTTTGGGCCTAGTTTCCCGATAGTCAGCTACTTCTGCTTTGTGGCAGCCTGGACAATGCTGCTTAATTGGCTGGAGGCTGACTCAGTCCTTTGTTCCGTGTGCCCTTCTAGTTCCACAGACTAAAACAACTCTGAGGCCCAAATAATTGTTTTCCTCCTGTGAAGTCCCAGATTTGATTAACAAAAGAATCTGAGTAAAAGTGAGAACTGGAATTGGGGCCTCTAGGCTTTATAATAATTAGCCTTCTCACTGGCAGTTGACTCTTAAATCTCAAATCTGGGGAGGAGGCAAATATTAGAAGTAAGAGGATGGAAGGTTACGTGGCCTACATCTGTGAGAGCCAAAAAATCCTTCATGGGAGGTCCTTAGGCTGTGGCTGCTAATTATTTTTCATATAGGGTGGGTTACGAGTTTCACAATAAAATGCTTGCCCACAATTGAAATTTGCTTATTTGGCTAGCAGTTCCCCTTTGCTCTTAGAACTGGCTCAAAGAGCAGTTCTGCTTCCATCTTCCACCACTGGGGGAATAAATGAACCTTGAGATATAACTTTAGAAAATGAAAGTCCAAAGTATATGATGCAAACTAACCCCTAAGGCAAAGGAAAACCCCAGTGCTGTATAGGAAAGCAACATTTGTAAATGTGTTTGGTTGCTCTGTTATATTCTGGTCCGGTTGTTTGGCAGGAACTAGAATTTAAACAAGATGACTAGAAAAAGTAAGCCCTCGAGTTTGTCTACGAAAAGTGGCACTTCAAGTTAAACATCAAAACTGAATAGCTTCCATTTAAGAATTAAAGGCAGAGGTCTGTGCTGTATCAAGAGCTGTCCTTTGCACTTTGAAGGTCTTCAACTGTGGCACTTGTAGTTATTCCTTCCTGTCTTCTCATTGCCGTCATTCTAATAAGGGTTCTGACCTTATGACCAAAGGTAGCACCCTGTCCCCGACTTCAGACTCTGTATGGAGTACCACTGCCAGGCTCCTTCATTCTATTTTCTTCATGTCATTAAAAAAAAAAAAAAAAAAAAAAAGTAAAGACGAGTAAGGAATTTTGTGGAGGGATGATGGCCGGTATTTATTAACATGTACCAGGTACTAGTCTAAGTGCTTGACAAAGTTAAGTGAGTTGTCTTTATTTTTGTGGCTGGCCGGTGTGAGTATTCAAACCCTTGACCTTGGTGTTATCAGCACCACACTCTAACCAGGTGAGCTAACTGGCCAGCCTGAGTTGGCTTTATCTAAGTGCCTAATATGGTACCTGGTACATAGTGAGTATACGTGTTAGCTCGTACTGCCAGCTTGTTCTTTTCTTTAATTAATAGACTTTATTTTTTATTTATTATTAGCATATTCATTCTTACAAATCGTGATATTTCTTTATGCCCTTTGCCTGATCTATCACTTCCGAAGACTTTATTTTTCAAAGAAACCAGATTAACAGAAAAATTCAGTAGATAGTACAGAGAATTCCCATATACCCCATCTATACACACATATACACACATACTAATGTGATTAGTTTCCCCTAATAGCATTTTACATTAGTATGATGCATTCATTACAATTAATGAATCAATACTGATATTGTTATTAACTGAAGACTAATTTTTCCAGATTTCCTTAGTTTTTACTTACTGTCTTTCTCTGCTCCAGGATCCCATCCAGAATACCCCATTATATTTAACTATTGTGTGGTCTTAAGCTCTGGGGACTGTGACAGTTTCTCAAATTTTCCTTGTTTTTGATGACCTTGACAGTTTTGAATAGTGTTGGTCAGCTGTGTAGTAAGGTGCCTCTCTCTTGCCATTTGTCTGATGTTTTTATCATGATTAGACTGGGGTTATGGGGTTTTGAGTGGAAGCTCCCAGAGGTACAGTGCCATTTTCATCACATCATATCGAGTGTACATAGTATCAACATGATTTCTGACTGTCAGTGTTGACCGCAGTCACCTGGCTGAAGTAGGTTTGTCAGATTCCTGCACTGGGAAGTTACTCTTTTTCTCTTCCCTCCCCTTCCCATACTGTACTGTGCTCTTTGGAAGGAGATTAATTAAATTTTTCACATACACAAAAACTCAAGCAAAGAAAACCCAGCATCCCAATGGGGTTTCCTTATGCCTCTTAAAAACAGGTCTCAAGTATCTGTGTATTCACTGCCCTTCATTGTGCCTGCCCAGGCGTGCCCCCCACGACTCTGTGTCCAAAGTCTTCCCACCCGTCCCCAGAGCCTGCATCCATTTATGCCTGTGCTCAGGTTGCTGTTCATCTCCTGGAGCATGTTTTCTCCCTTTCCAATCACAGAAATCCTGCTCACCTTTGAAGGCCCAGCCAGAACGTTTTGCTTCAGCTATGAAACCTTCCTGGGATGATCTACTCCTTTTCTAAATTTTAAATGGTGTTTGGTGCTGACATATCTCCCCTCTCCCTAGCTACGTCTGTGTTGTAAGGGATCTCCTTTCAACAATAGGTAAAAATTGGGTTTGTTAGAATCATTTAGATTTGCCGTTGGTTCAAGGGCTGACAGAAAACAAATTAAGAATTGTGGGGCTGGCCAGTTAGCCTCAGTTGGTTAGGGTGTGGTGCTGATAGCACCAAGGTCACAGGTTCGGATCCCCATACAGGCCAACCACCAAAAAAAAAAGGATTGTATAGCCAAATATATTTCTCCTGAAAGATAAATTTTAGGAATGGAGAAAACATATTAATCACTGACTCCCAATGAGGTTCTGCTTTTCTGTCTTATCATAAGTCCAAGTGTACTTGCTTCCATATTTGTTTGCTTAATGAGAAACTACCACAGTGAGAAGGACACAGGAGAAGGACAGAATGACAGCGTCAGAGGCCAGGTCTGGGATTCCTGAGATGACCCATGGGATACGGTGAGGAAAGGACCCTTTATGGTGGCTCTGCCCTGTGATGTGGACATCACACCTTGGCATGGATTCCAGGATGGATTAGACACATAATGGGAGAGAACTTCCCAGTCTCTTAGAAGAGACTTGGATTAGATACACAATAGGAGAGAACTTTCCAAACTGGCTGGCAGAAAGATTTTAAGAATTACCAAATTCTCCTATGCCAGCCAGCTCCTTTTCTCTGGCCAGGCTGAGCTCATGTAGGAGATGCCAGTTCTGAAACGTTCTTTTGTTCCCTTAGGTTTGTTGGTTGGCTCCCGAGCAGACAGCAGGAAAGAAGAAGCCCTTTGTCTACACCCAGGGTCAGGCTGTCCTAAACCGGGCCTTCTTCCCTTGCTTCGACACTCCTGCAGTGAAATGCACGTATTCGGCTCTTATTGAGGTAAGTGATTAAGGTTATATACACTTGCCTTTGGGATTAAGAATATAATTTCATATCTATCAAGTCACATTTTAGTTGATAAATTATCATATCCATCCAGTGGTACCCCTGAAAAAAAAATTTTTTTTTTTTTTTGTCTTTTTTCATGACCGGTAAGGGGATCACAACCCTTGGCTTGGTGTCAGGCACCGGCCACACCTATATAGGATCTGAACCCGTGGTGGGAGCGCCGCTGCACTCCCAAGCGCCACACTCTCCCGAGTGCGCCACGGGGCCAGCCCTGAAAAATTCTTTACTTTTAAACCCTTGCACCTACAGAAATTTTATGTAGTCTTCTAAATCCCATCAGTTTAGCACAGGTTTAGTTTCTTGAAACTTTTGTGTTTTCCAAGATGGACTCCAGGTCATTATTGTCACCAGGCAGGTTGCCTGTTCTTTAGACTAATCAAAAGGAGACTCTCTCCAGGTAAAATCTCCTAAGCTTTCTCTGTTGTCAGGTTCCAGATGGCTTCACAGCTGTGATGAGTGCTAGCACCTGGGAGAAGAGAGGTCCAAATAAGTTCTTCTTCAAGATGTGTCAGCCCATCCCCTCCTACCTGATAGCTCTGGCCATTGGAGATCTGGTTTCAGCCGAAGTTGGACCCAGGTAGGAGACAAAGACCCCCATAGGTAGGGCTGGACTGGCATCAGAGGGGAGAGCTCTGAACAGTGGACCTGCTGGGTGGTACTTGGGGCAGTCTTGAATCCTGTGTCTGAGTCTAGAGACTTTCTGCAGCAGAGAAGCATGTGGCATGAGCACAGCTGGAGGAAGTGCTTTCCTCTACCCTCCTTTCTCCCTTCCCCGCGCCCCCGTACCTCCCCCCTTCTAGTCTGCTACCTGGAATGAGGTTATCAGTCCTGCCAGCAGTGGCTGTTGTACTGAGGTGTTGTAGAGTGATGTTGGAGCTTAGACAGCAGCTTTAGAAAAGTGATCTTTATTAGTATCTTTAAGTTCTAAATGCCCTTCTATCAACTATATTCACCTTTTTGTCTTTGTACCAAACCTCCCCATTTTCTCCAGGAGTATACTTCTGGAAATATACAACTTTGATCTCACTGTTTCATTCTAGAGAGAGAAGTAGACATTCCTATCTGTCTCCTGTAGATGCATGAACCTAAACCTACGGTAACTTGATCCTCCATGAAGTTAGATGGATTTAATGATGATAAAAAATGATATTGTAAGACTTCCTGAGAAAAGGAATTTGACCAGTAGTATTGGTTTTTCCTGGCAATCATATTATCTGCAATTAGAGCTTAATCCTGATGTGAGGGGACCAGAGGTGGCACAGTACAGCTGTGACCCTCCTCCTGGCTCTGTTGCTGTTCTTTATCTCTGGCCCTGCTCTCAATTCCCGGAGGCAGTGGTGTCCCTGACAAGATTCGTTACAAGCCTCAGATTTCATAACTGGGTGCAGTAGCACTGCTAGTATCATGAACCTTAGTTCCTGGGCATCAGATGGAATAATAGATGGGATTCTGTTGGTATCTGCTTCCAGTACACACTCTCAACCCAGTACCAGTCTCGAAAGACAAGAGGTCCTCCTCTCACTAAGGGCTTTCTTCCTAAATAGGCAGGGTAATAGATAATCACGGGAATGTCATGTTTGCAGTAGACAGGAAAGTAGGTAAGTAAAGGAATGTCATTTCAGAGAATTTGCTAAGGTCCTATTAACATGAGTATAAACTATTAATGGGAAATGGGAGAACAATAGATTTTAAACATACTGGATACTGATGATTTTTTTGAACACTCTATAGTAAAATAACATAGTATATCAAACTAGGTGACAGAATTCATTTAACTGTTGATGATGACTTATTCCTTCCCCTATGAGATGGATGGTCCTTGCCTCATGGTCACATTGTAGGGTCTTATAGGGGTATGTTAAATGGGAGGGTCTTCTAGCAAAGTATGCCACCTATCCCAGTCCTCATTCTACAAGAGGAAAATTCTAGGCAGAAGAGAGTTCTGGATATATCCCAGTAGGCCCTTTTTTTTTTT